CATTTGCGAAGTATTAGGCCAAGTGGCATGGAATTACTGAGGCGGTATGAGTAGTAGTAGCAGTGGGGTGATTGGAAGGGGTGGTGGGGGTAGCAGAGGTGAGCATTTCATAACGTAGAAGAAGTAAAGGAGAGAGTCTTCACACAGTAGATGCAGCTACGCCTGTAGTAGGTTTACAGTTTCAGTTCAATGAATAGCTGTGAGTGTCGACGTATGCTTGACCTCATCTGCATTACCAGGTGAAGGTGGTACACAAAAACATGCGTGAAATGTGACATGAGGACATAAAAGTGCTTTCAGAGCCTTTCTGCCAAAATAGAGATAAATGGGCTTGTGGTGGGTTGTTGATGGATTCCAGTGTGCTGCTTCCAAGCGCTTGCGGTTGGGTAGCCAAGTCATTTTGTTTGATGCCATCCAACACTGTCGCCTCCTCTGCTGGAGACGTGCACGAAAAATGTGAGAACATCCGCCCACTTGAGCAGATGTTAGAACTCTCCATGACCCAGGTGGAAGCAGGCAGTTAATTGGAATATAAGGAATCAAGCTAATGCCTGATAAGGGTCGAATTCAAATTCCGTGCCACCATTCACCGAACCCTCAATGTGTTTAGATTAAGATTGTGTCCATTAGTGGAACATTAGGCCAGGTGTCTTGGAATTGATGAGGCGGTATGAGTGGTAGTAGAATTTGCAGCAGTAGCAATAGTAGTTGTAGTTGCAGGGTGATTGAAATGTGTGGTGGGTGTAGCAGAGATGAGCATTCCATAATGTTGAAGAAGTAAAGGAGAGAGTCTTCACGCAGTGGAAGCAGCTACGCCTACAGTAGATTTGCAGTCTCACTTCAGCAAAGAGCCGCGTGTGTGCTACTTATAACAGTAGCAGCAGCTACAACAACAAGAAGGGTGTGTAGACAGGGAGAGAGGACTTTGAGTAGGGACACCTTACACACAATGGCCAGCGTTCAGGTGACACAAATGTCAACCTCATGTTTCGGGATGTGAATTTGCATTGCGTTATCCATCAGTTGTGTTTTGGCACGTCGTTGATAAGAAGCGTTGCAGTTGGATATGCAAACGCTTGGATGGCCCCTTAGTTCATGCGTGCAGTGCACTCATGAAGAAGTGGATTTGTGGGTCAAGTAGAGGGCACTTCATTGGCTGATAATTTGGAAGGCGTTCGTATAAATGCTGTGGCATTGTGAATGCGACGACTCTTTGTGTTGATGGCGGTGCTTTACTTCTGTCTCATATTGTTTGCCTTCTCCACTCTTGTTCAGGAAGGGAATGGAGCACGGAGTAAGTTGGCTTCTTATAACTGACTCTCATTAGCATATGCAGATTAGCGTTTGACATACAGCAGCATTTGTTACACCCGTTCATTCCTTTCAAACTTTTCATGCTTCGCATTTAACCCTGGTATAATTAATTGCACTTAAGCTCATGTGCACACTTTGTGGCCCTTTTACTTCTGCACGATATTTCCTACCGCCACTTGAAAGAGCATGATGTGACTAAGGCGATTGGTACCTTGAACCGTAGATCACAAGTCCATTGAACCTCATGCCCCTAGAATCGACAGGTTGATTTGGCTTTGTCATGTTTGCTGGGTAAAGTGAATAGAAAGGGTGGGTACAAATGCACGAAGGTTCGGACACGGAACTGCTCTGCTAGTTATGGGAGACGTTGACTCCTCAGTCAGAAGGTAAGAGTGGAGTGTGCAATTGTGAAGGAGAAAGTAGGTTGTCGAATTTGGGTACGCATTCAGAAAGATCAACCATATGACTTCAACAAAGTATTAGTAGCCTGCTCATACGCATCACGATTTCCTGTGCATCTGCTGCCATTGCTGACTTCAGTTATTGGACGCACCTACCACTGACTCCACAATGTCATCCACAAGTGTAGGCTATACCGTTGGCCGTCAAGTGCAAGTTTGCTTGACATATGCGTATGATCATGCTGGCATTGGCATGGATGCGAGTCCTTACCTCTCCTCTCGCCACTTCGTCTCCTTATTGCATTGCAAATGAGGGGACTCTTGATATGGAGGCCAAAACAAGTAAAAATTGCTACTTTGATTCGCATAAAGTATTTGCCTTAAACATTGACAACAAAAAACAAGCGGTATAGTTAGGTGTGCTCGGTTTGTTATTATCATTATTAACCCCCATCTTAAAGGCAAACCTAGTGACATTCTTTTCTCAGTTAACACCGATTTTGTGACGTTGGCTGGAAAATGCTTTGAATATGTTTGCAGCCTGCCTAATGTACAATGCTGTTCAAAGCATTAAATGGGATGTATTTAATCATACTAGTCTTCAAATAAGTTGACATCCAAATAATTTGTTTGCAAAGCAAATTAAGGCAAGTGCAACACCAATTTCTAAACGTGATCACACTATTAAAAAAAAGGAAAAAGTCAAAACCGGAAATATCATTTTCAGTGGATTGCTGCCCAGCACCAATTACAAATTGATCATAAAGGCACTTCGAAATAGTATTTTTTCCTTACGAAGCAAAACTAAGTTTGAAACAGGGTCAACTGGTAAGTCCAATTCGTCTCAAATCCATTGCATTCCATTGCATGCGTTCAGGCCTAAGATGAAAAGATGGCTTGAACTTGACAGCCTAGGTAGAGGTAAAGGACCTGCGCAGCTTTAATTCGTGTTGCAGCGTCTTACACAACACACAATGCCGTCAAGTTGAAAAGTCATTGCACCGCCACTTGGGAATGCCTTATCAATCCCATCTCACTAAGTGTTTGTCAGCACGTTAGCCCAGCGAAATAGTCACTTAAAGGACAAAAAATAAGCTGGGGTGAAGTAAACCCACTAACTCGTCTCGGTGAGATGCTTAAGCTTGCCATTTAAGCTGTGCATTCACATGAAAACGTGAAAAAACAGGATCATTTAAGTTGAAAGTCTGAACATGAGGAGTCAGTAATCCTCATGCGTGGTGGACCGAGTATTTGAATGATTGCAACTTGAGGGTCAACCACAGTGAAGTTCTCTTCCCTACTATTACCAATACCACCACTGGCACGACGTCAGGCGTAAATGCTTCACATTCCGTGGGATGAGCGAAACAGACTGCCTGCACCTTGCTTAATGTACAATGTCTTATTTTTTTTCAGATGGTGGCGGAAATACCCCTACAACAGGGACGAGTGGTAAGATGAATTTGTTGTAGATGCGTTGGCACTGGTTGCTTGCATTTATACACAAACTTGAATAAAAATGATCATTTAAGTCGAAAGTCCGAACATGGGGAGTCAGGGATCCTCAGGAGTGGTGGGCTGAGCATTTCAAATACTGCATCTTGGGGGCAATCAGAGTGAAGTTCCCTTTCCTCCTACCTCTGGCATGAAGTTGGGTGGAAATGCTTCACATTCTATTGGGTACTTGAAACAAAGTGCTTGCACCATGCTTAATGTAAAATGTCTTATTTAGTTTCAGAAAGTAGAAAAATGATCACTACTACAAAGCCGACAAGTGTAATTTGTCGCGGATGCATTGCCCATTGTTTCTTGCATTCACACACAAAACTAACATGAACGATCATTCAAGTTAAAAGTCCTAACATGAGGAGTGAGTAATCCGCCTTCGTCGTAGGCCAAGCATTTAAAATATTGCATCTTGAGGGCAACCACATCAAAGTTCTCTTCCCTACAACTGCTTTTACTGCTTCCACTGGTGTGAAGTTAAGCGGAAATGCTTCACATTCCATTGGATGAGAGAAAAGGAACGTGCCTACTCTGCATTGCCTTATTTTGCTTTGAAGGTGACAAATCTACCACTACAACAGTGTCAACTGGTAAGTTTAATTTCTTTCACATGCATTGCCTCTTGTCGCTTGTATTCAAAGCTCAGTTAATAGGATCCAAGCATTAGGGAGTACAGATTGACGTAAAAATAATCACAGCCTCTGCTCGTTTCACAGTGGCTTGGAAATGATGACTCCTAACCGTATTGCCATGTCCCGTGTCATAGCATGAGGGAATACGTTGAGCACACCACGATGAGGGAGTCGTCAATACTCGTCATTGCACAGATTACGCATGAGCCATGTCCGTCTCCTTTGCAACATTGTTAAAAGCATTCTTTTTCCGTAGAAGGGAAAGGAGGTGCTGCCACGTCTGGCGCACCTGCCTTGACTTCCACAATCTCTGCAGTCCTGCTTGCGTATGTGGCGGAGATCCTTGCTTGAACTCTTCCGTAAGTCAGTGCACATTGCCCACCCTTTCAACTGTAGGCTTCAGATCTGGCGTTTAACGAGGCAATCATTTCCGCTGTAGGTGTGCACGGAGCAAGCATTGCATCAGTCACCAAACATTCATACTAACCTTACAATAATGTGATTTCTCGTAATGAATGCCTTTTGATTGACAAATACAAGACTTTGTTAATGCTTAATATGCTTTTGCAATTTTTGCCATTCAATTTCGGTGGTTGGGAAGTGGGCGTACTGCTGTGAACGAAATGGGGCACAACTTTTGAACTGAAGTTGCTTCAAGACATGTACAGGCTTGTGTCTTCCTTACAAATGTGGTCCAATTCTTGCAAAACGCTTCAATTCTACCCAAAAGGCTGAAGCACCGCTGAAGTCAGTGTTTCCACTAACCTGACTGTCTGGCCACTACGTGCAATGAGAATGAATTGTGCAGTCATATGGTAAAAGTTGATGTGCGGTTGAGGGTGTGGGTCACTTCAAATAATCTTGTCGTGTCATCGTGTGACACGCATTGAAACAAAACAATTTGGTGTGGCTACATGAAGCTGGTAATGCAGAATTTGAGGTTACTCAGGCAATTTTTGGCAAATTTACTTGTCTCTTTATAATGTCAAACAATAAATTGCTCTGCATGCCATCACGGCTTGCGCATTAAAATCACCCTTTGTTCCCAAAGTATTCATATATTTGCAAACTTTATTTGACGCTGTACAAATGTCAGGAAGGATGGAATTATGTGTTCACGAATGTGGGACATTGCAGGACTCAAGCAGGCAGGCATTATACATTGACCACATGAAAGAACCTCCTGCAAAGCGTGAGTGGATTGAGGGTGTAGGGGGAAGAGATCACAGCGTCGCTTTGCATTCGTCAACATTTTCCTTCGTTTTCCTGTCCTTGCATTACATCTCGACTTAAGTGGAGTGGTGGACTTGATGAGGTTACCGCAGTGCAAGAAAAGCATCACCCAGCCACAATGGTTGCATTTTAATTTAGCAAAATCCTAGCTGATGAGCAACTGCTTCATGATACGGTAGTCAACTAATGATAAACCTCCACGGAGCCTCATGGTAATGAAGGACGTGCTTGAATGGAGAGCCAGTTGAAATGGGAAGTTGTATTGTCAATAAGAATTTGAGAGGAAATTGCGGCCTGTGAAATTAGTTCAGCCTCTGCATTTGGAGCGTGAATATGTTGGCGCTGCACAGGCGACTTGTATTGAAAGAGTAAATATTGTTCTGAAAGGATACTCTTGGCTATTTCTTACTGAGAAAATTCTGTTCCCTCAAAACCCATCATCGGCAACACCGATATTCTGATGCGACTGGTATTAGACTGTGTTACATAAAGGGAACTAGACTGAGGGAGTGCGTCGAGCAAGAGAAGGTTCTTCCACTGGTACTTCCTTGCGCATAAGTTCATTCCTTTCTTTACTGTGGTTATCGTGCAATAATCCTGCAATTCAGACAGATATTTCACTGACACTCGAATTACTCTG